TGAATCGTGCTCATGGTGATCACACGGCAACTATCAGTTATTCTCGAGACGCCACGGCCATAACTACTGCATCCTGGTACACTACTTCGCGTAAGGGCAACACCACTTTGGCTGCCTCTCAATCAGTCCAAGGAGCAGCGAAACGTCATTTTGAAGAGGAAAGCTTGGAAGAGACCGAGTACGATGGGTCTCCTACTTTATAACGAACTGTAGGAATGAAAAAAAACTTGGCAAACAATTGCTCTGGGGCTATGACCCTCAACAGAATAGCGGCAGAACGCGGATACATTTGCAGTCGCTGTGGTCCAGAAATAGCGCAAAGTAAGTGCATTGCTTTGTCTCTTTTCTAAGCTCATAAGCGTAACCAACGTACGAATTTTAGCATCCACGTCGAGGGTGAGTTTTACGCCTCCAGCACTGGTGCTAATGCGATGGAATGTTGAAAGATCTTCGTCACAGCAGGACTTGCGTCGCCTCGGCAGAGAGGGCTAAATTTGACGTGAGAAAGCTGCTGTCCTCGGCCACGTTCAAGACGGGTGCTGCTGGTCTGCTTGTTGCAGAAGTACCAGATGAGCCGTTGTTGAGTACACGGGCCGGTGACGTAATAATAAACGACGTTTACGTATTTAATATCATCTGACAAAAATGCATAACTGTAGGAATGATGTAAGAAACTAAGCAATGGGCGCAGCTCTCTGAGCCGGACATGGCAATGGAGGCTGAAGCGGGTCCACTTTCGCGGTTGTTTTGGGCATCGACACGGGATGCAAATTGTAATGCTGTTTCGCAGACCCAATGACTGTCATTCGGTGGTTCTGCTTCTACAATCATCTCACTACGGTATGGCTGCTGTGTAGCCGTGATCAGACACAACCAGGTGTCCGGAGTTTGGAATCGTATATAAATATCATTAAAAGTAAATGATTTCTTACGTTTTGGGACGACAAAATAAAGCGAAAGCACAGTTTTCAGTGCCAGCGTTAATGGAGGCTGGCGGAGTGCGGGATTTGAAAAAAGAGGCAATGGGTCCTTGGCCTCGATTCTTCTTCACCACACACACCCATATTTCCAAAATTCTAGAATTGCTGCAACAGGAGTAAGTTTAGTGTGCCGAAATACGTAGTTCGTTATTCTGTAAGTCTTATTCTACAGCATTAGACGTGATTATCAAATGTATAATTTTATCCCTACCAACTCAAAGCTAAAGCCTTAGTTAAGTGAAAGAATCTTTGATAACAAGTCAGGTGAGCCCTCCGCTTTTCTTGCGTATATTTGGCAATTCAGTTGCAAAACTAGAATCCAAATGCTGTTTAAAAATGTAGGTGACACTGTACAACACACAAAAGCGCATTTCAACTAAATACATAATTTGTTATAAGAGTACTGTAATGGCATTGAAATAAATTCATAAAAGAATGATAGAATGTTTTGGAAGAATTAGTGATTGTGTAGGTGATTGTCCTTAATATACCTGTATTCAGGTATTGTTAATGGAGTAGAAAGATTTCTTTTTAATGGGTAAACCAAGCGGGTTGTTGCTATTGGGTAGCCTTACCTTAGGTGTTTGATTAGAATATTAATCTGAATGCTTTTAGAGGAAGGGTTCAAAACAATCTATATTAATAATCTATATTAAGTGCAAATTTATATTTCAATATTTCAGCATGTCACAGTCACAAAATACTAACTACATGAGCTTTACAAGTAAATGTGCCATTCTTCCTTCAACTCGCAGATATGGTTTTGCTGAATCAATCTGCGTGAAGAGCTGCCCCCCAACCAATCGATAGAGTTCTGGCTCAGCTCCGGTGCGGTTGCGTATGGATCGCTTTTCTTGAAGACTGGAACTGCATGGTCCTTCAAACATAGCTTTGCTTTGCTC